CACCATGAGCATCTGTGCCCTCCTGTTTGGGATTTGAGACATCCCATCCAAAGAAGGCTTCCTCAGCCTTCTCTGTGGGCATGGGGTTAGGAGACATTTGTTCAACAAGTTAATAGATGAGTGAATAGGTGCTGTCTCCTGGCCACATGAGAGTGTGTGAGAGTGCCCTTGCTCCTCAGGATGAAGACCCCTCATTACCTCTTTGTGAGGTCACACTCACCTCCAGTCATGCATGCCTCTCACAACACATGGAGAACATGTCTCCTCCATCTGGCTTGGGGATCCCTTGTCTTTAGTCTAAGCCTCTCAGGAAATCACCCTATCATACAGACCTGTTCTTTCCCCTCTGTCCCTCACAGTTATCAACCGTGTTATTCATGTGCATTCATTAAGTGCCTATTTACTGCATGTGCGCTGACTGTGGTGGGTGGACATTATACCAGAAATGGTGACCAGTAGAAAAGCCATCCTCAGGCAGTGACAGTACTCTGGAGACTAGAGAGTTGGGAGCATGGTGTCAAGTGAGATGGCATCGGAGGTTGAAGAGGAGGTGATGTTGGGGCTGGGGCCAAACCCAAGTGAGGGAAGATGTTGAGTGAAGAGCTGGGAAGGGCAGTGTGGGAAGGAGGCTGTGCTGGAAAGCTTTAGTTGTCAACTTGACATACCTGGGTAGAGGGAGCCTCAACTGGGAAATTTCCTCCATTGGACTGGCCATATCTGTGAGCTATCTTCTTGATTACTGAGTGATATGAGAGGGCCCAGCCCACTATGGGTGGTAGGTGGTCCTGTATTGTATAAGAAAGCAAATTGAGCACTGGCCAGGGGACCAAGCCAGTAAGTAGCGTTCCTCCATGGCCTGTGCTTCAGCTTCTGTCTCCAGGTTCCTCTCCTACCTTGGGTTCCCTCAGTGATGAACTGTGACCCAGGAGATATAAGCCAAATAAACCCTTTCCTCCCCAAGTTTGTATTGGTCAGAGTGTTTTGTCACAGCAATTGAAAGCAAACTAGAACAGAGGCACAGAACACATGAAGGCCTGTAAAAGACAGAGGTGGTCACTCAAGGAACAGGAAGAATATGAGCCCCAGGAGACTATCCATCTCAGGGTCATAGCAGTGTGGCTATGGTGTGGCTACAAGGTGAAGTCTGGTTGTAGAAACAAAATGGGGTAAGGGTACCTGGCACCATCCAGGCAAGAGAGAAGATGATGGTCATAGAGGTGGGAGTGTGCCAGATGTGGGGGTTACTTGAAGAGAGAGCTGATAGATGAGAAAGAGACAGGTGAGCAGGGCTTAGGTTAGGAGGACACTGGCCTGGTGAAGACCAGGGACATGCCTCATCTGCCCAGTGCAGAGAGCCCACAAGGAAATGAGTTTCCTGTGCAACTTTAAAGGATCTCTCTTGCGCACCCTCTCACTACTTTGAGACAGAGTCTTGCAGGGTAGCCCAGGCTGGCCTCAAACTAACAATCCTTCTGCCTCAGTCTCCTGAGTGCTGAGATGATGCTTATTTTCTGACAATATTTGTCCTAGTTATAACTTTGGGATGGAGTGTTAGGACCAGACCTTAACAATGATTTTTTGTTTGTTTGACTAAACTTAAAAGAACTTGGGTTCCTTTACCCATTTGTTAAATCCAGATTGAGTAAATAAATCTGATAAGTCAGTTTAGCACCCACCCTCCCTATCTGATCTTCCCTCAGAGTTCCTCATTCCTACCAGTCCTGTGTGCTGTCTGATCACCTTGGCCTGCCCCCAGCAAGAATCCTGTAGGTCAGTGTCTCAGTCCATTTTCTGTTGTTGTTATTGAATACCACACACTGGATAGTTGATGAAGAATAGAGGTTTATTTAGCTCTTGATTTTAGAGTATAGTGCAAACATCTCCTGGGCATCTGGCAAGGGTTTTCCTGCTGAGTCACTGCTCAGTGGACAGGGTAAGAGGCAGCAAGCTCTCTCTCGTTACAAAACTATTTCCCATAACCCATTAATCCCCTAATCTATTAATTCACGGATGAATTAATCCATTTGAGAGGGCAGAGCCCTAATCACCTCTGGGCTGGCCCACCTGGTCACACCTCCAAATACCTTACAGTGAGGATTAAATTTCAATATAAGTTTAGGTAGTAAAATTCAAACCCCAGCAGTTGGTTTAGCTAGAATTCTCCTTATTCTTTGTGTGTGTGTGCGTGTGTACGTACATGTGTGGGTGCATGTGGAGACCAGAGTTGGCATTGAGACTATAGGCACATGCCACTATGTCCAGCTTTTTATGTGGGTGCTGGGGAAGTGAACTCATGCTTGTACAACAGGCACTTTACTGACTAAGCCATCTCCCTAGTCCCACCCCCTTATTCTTAATGTTGCCTTTATCTTTTTAAAATTTTTTGTTTGGTTTGGTTGTTTATTTTTATTTTATATGCATGTGTGTTTTTCCTGCGTGTGTCTAAGTGCATCACATGCATGCAATGTCCAATGATGCCAGAAGAGGGAGTCAGGTCCCCGAAACTGGAGTTACAGCTGGTTATTAGCTGCCATGTGGGTGCTGGGAACTGAACCCAAGTCCTCTGCAAGAGCAGTCAGTGTGCTTAACTGCTGAGCCATCTCTCCAGCCCCTTTAAATTTTTTTTTAGACAGAGTCTCATCTATACCAGGCAGGTCTTGAACTCACTATGTAACAGAGGATGACCTTGAACTTCTAACCTACCTGCCTCTGCTTCCTGAGTGTTAAGATTATAGGCATGTACCACCATGTCATTTCTTTGGTATTGGAGACCAGAGATTGGTGTATGCTAAGCAAGCAAGCACTCTTCCAACTGAGCTGCAACCCCAAGCCTCTTGGTACCTGTCAATAATTTTCCATCCACTGAGCCTCCATCCCTACTCCTTGACTGTAAATCCCCACTGTCCTTGCTATATTCAAAGTATCGGCCAGTTCTCTTCTGAACCTAACTCTATTCTTTTCCCCTAATGCAACATTCCTAAGTCTGGTCTCACTTCCTGCTGCTTTCCAGGAAGCTTACTTGCCATACCCAAATAGCTTAAGCCAGCAGGGCCTAGCTAGCAGGGAAGAAGCCAGCTCGTGCTCACCTCCACCTCCCCACCTTAAGAAAGGAGAAGGAGTACCCAGAGCCTGTCCCTTGACTTTGGGGCTACCTTGTACCCCCTGTAGATCCTGGTGTGGACATCAGAGCTTGCAGCCCCTTGTGCACCTACAGTCTTCTGTCCCTGCTGGCTTAGAGAGTACATTCTACTAGGTCTAGGATGTGATCTGGGAAGGTGTCTATGGGCCAAATGCTGTACAAACTCTAGGATGCCAAGAAGCAAATAATTGCAATAGGCTGTTAGACCTGAGTGAAGAGATCACTCCAGGCCCTGGTTTCCCTCACGAAGACCAAGTGCAGTCCTCAGGTGCAGGAATAGATATCAGGTGCTGATGGGTCTGGCAAAGGGGTACTGGAAAGTGGGCTGCCCAGGGAGCTCCTACTGTCTCACCCAGATGCCATAGCACAGTGATGGATGTAGAATAGAGTAAGGATGCACCCCAATGTGACACAAAAGCCCTCCAGAATGGTCCCAATGGGATCTTTGGGAGGCTCCTACAGGATGTAGCCCCTGAACTCATCCAGGCACATAGGCAGGTCAAGGACACAAAGTCTGTCCCCAGTCCTGGGAAAGGGTCTGTCCATGCTGTCCCTCTGCCTGGGCAGACTGCTGCTGAAGGCAGCTGCCTACCTAATTGCTCTCTGTCTGGCCTGAATCTGAGCAGGACTCACTCTTACTGGTGTTTAGCAAAGGGGTAGGGAGTGCAGTGATCACCACCACTGGGTCCAAGACTGACCATTGCAAACCAATCTCCAGATGCCCTTCGTGCCCCACCCAAGATGAGAGGTTGCAGCCCAGGAGAGAACTGAGGTAGAGATGGAGGGCACAAAGACCACAGGGATTCCCCCCTCCCCACCACCACTATTCCTGGTGTCTCAAGTTACAGCACTCCAATGGGCCCTGGGCTAGCAGCACCAGCCAAGGAGATAGATAAAATCTGACACCATTCACCATTGCTGGCTGAGTGCCCGCTTCCTCTAAGGCCACAGATCTTCCTTTTCTAGCTGGGACTGGTCACGCCTGCATCATCCTGTGGGCCAGGGGCTTCCTGTGGTGAATACTAGAGCAGAAAAGGCCAGGCTCAGAGGGGAAAAAGGCAGGGTGTTAAGATTTGCCTGAGGTCATGCATTTTATGGTTGGGGAAACTGAGGCTAATTAGGAACCCTAATTAGGATCGCAATGCCAGGCTCTTGTCCCTTTTGCAAACGGAGAGCTTGATACAGGGCCGTCCCACCAACCTCACTAAGTCTCAGTTCTCCCCTGGACTGCAGGGGCGTCACTGTCCAGTCCCTGTTCACTTTGCTGATCCCTAGATGCTAGTGGACGGACACGGCCTTTTATCCAGGCCTGACCTTTTGCATGGCCTTGGGTAATTCACGTCTCCTCTGACACACTGTTTCTTCATCTTGGAGATGGGATGGAGTGGCCAGTGTGGAGCAGCAAGCAGCACCGAGCCCGGCAGCACCTAAGACGCCTGAAACTTTCCTAAGCTCAGCAAGTTTAGAACCTGCCGAAGAAGAAGGGTGGGGTCTAAACGAAAGAGCACGCAGCCGGGGAGAGTGGTTCTAGGAAAAACTGTGCTGGGGAGGGACCTGAGCGAGGGGCGGGGCTTAAGAGGCCTCTCGTCGGGGTGGCTGGAGGCTGGACTCCGCTCCTAGGAGCGCTCACAGAAGCTGGCGAGGGCGGAACTCCCGGCGCGGACGCAGCGTAGGACCCCAGGGGCGGGGTTTAGTGGGGGGGCCTGGCTTAGAGGTCCGCCATACCTTCGGACAGCAGGGGGCGGGGTTAGAATGAGGAGCTAGGTTTAGACCCGACCGAGCCGCAACTGACGCGACACTCAGCTCCGGAAGGCGAGGGGGCGTGGTTAACGGGGGCGGGGTTTGGGCGCCGTCGCCGGGCGGGGTCTAGAGGGAAGAGGCGGGGCCTAGGGTCGGGCCTATGGGCGGTGGTCACTGGAGCCGTCGGGCCGGGCAGCGAACCGCTCGGGACGGTCGGGCGGCGCCGTGTCCTCCGCCATGACAGGTGGGCGCAGGGCCAGGCGGGCGACGGGAGTCGAGTGACCTTGACCGTCAGCTGGAGACGGTGACTCGAGCTCAGCGGCGCGCGGTTGCGGGGTGTCCCGGGCTCTGCTCCGCAGGCCTGGGGCACCACGGGTCTCGGATGCGGAGGGTGGGGCACGGGCAGAGGAGGCCGAGCTGCAGGTGAGCGCGAACCAGGTGCATATTACCGGCGCGGCTCGGCCGCTGCACCTGCGAAGTGAGGCGGTGTCCGGATGGATCTGAGTGGGAAGTGGTCCTCACAGCCGGGCTGTGATTCCAGAGCAGAGATCACGCTCATCCCTACTACTGCCCGGTCGGAGAGGCGGGACGGGCGTCTGGGCAGCGTGTGGTATCCCTGGGACTTCAGTGCCTCCACTCGCTTGGGGCCTGCGGGACTCCAGCCGCTCCTAGCTGGGTGTAGGGAAATCTGAGCCTGCGACTGGACCCCACTCCCCACACCCCGTGCTTTGTGGTCCCAGCCCAACTTTTGCTCTGGGGACAACTTTATTTCTGACCCTAGCCAAACACATTGCTCTGCCCTGTGTCCCCTGTAAGAGAAGACTGTGAGGATGATGATCCAGGGAGGTACCCCATGAGCTCCGGGAAAGAGAAAGTGGTGGCTTCTAGATGCCACACTTCCTGAGAGTCTCACTCTCATGCCTCTTGTGATAGAGATCATCTAGGATGGTCCAGAAAGGAAGAGTGGCCCCAGAAGTCCTCAGGGGGCTCTCCACTGGAGTTCACATTGGTGATGCACAGAAATAGGGTACCATGGACTGGAACCTGGTGACATCCTGAACACCAGGCTAGAGGAGACCCCAGCTGTCATTTTTCCTTTGTCATCCCTCCAAGCCCTTCTTGTTTGGGGCTGCAATTTCTGAGCACTTGCTGTAGGTGGGACCCTGCCTGAGCCCCAATAAGCCCTTCTAGTAAAAACTGGCCATGTGGGGGGCTGGAGAGATGGCTCAGAAGTTAAGAGCACTGACTGCTCTTGCAGAGGACCCAAAGCCCTCTTCTGACCTCCTTGGCATTGCACGACTCAAGTGCACTCACATACATGCAGGCAATACACTCATACACATAAAATAAAAATAGTAAAATATTTTAATTTAAAAATTGTCTTGTGTGGGCATGAATATCATGCCTGTATAGGGATGAGGAAACAACCTCAGATTGGGTAGTTGCCCCAGGTCACTCTGCTGGACAGTGGTAGGAGCAGGATGAGAGGACTGGGCCCAGTCTTCATGCCTGAACCCTGCCCAGTCCCTGACCTCCCAGCTCCTCTAGTAAGATGATCAGGGTATGTGATACACATCTTAGCTGTAGACTCAGGCAGCCCATCTCTAGAAGAGGCAGTGGGAGAAGAACATTTTTGTTGAGAGGATACCGCCAGGCAGGGGCCCTCAAGGCTTAGAGTGTGGCAACCACACACCCTTTTGTCTACCATCTACTTGCTGGCTTCTAATCACTTCTCACTACCTCTGAAGGGTGGAAGATGGAGACTGGTGAGCAGAAGCCTGTGAGGATTGGATGGGCTGCCCTGGAAGGCTACAGACCAGTTGTTCTGGGCTCAGTGCCTTCATGCACCAACTGGGAGTCTGCCACGTATGTTGATCTGAGGCCGGCGAGTGTGTGTGTGCATGTGTGTGAGCTGATGATTATAGAACACTGAGGGCTCTGTATGCACAGGACAGGTGAATAGGTGGTATCCCATGGAGTGAGTGATCTTAACCAAACCAGGTACTACAGGGATAAGAGGAGCCTCTGGGAGAGATTTAGAGGGGAGTTGATAAGCTTAAGTGTCTGGACCCTAGGAGAGTGGCTTGGGAATTCAGGGGATAATAAGCTGGGCATGAATCTACTGGGTATTCTCAGCCTATTGCATGGGTTGACTGGTGGTTGAGGGCTCCCAGGAAAGAAGGCTCAGGAGCTTAGGAGGACAAATAAGGGCAGGTGGGGCCAGCTGCTTCAGGGTTCAAACTGGGGGTTTTGGCCTAGAAATGGAAGGTTCAGATTGAGGTGACAGAGATGGGGACAATGGTTCTAGTACCAGCTATCAGGAAGGGAAGATATAGGTGAAGCCTCCTGGGTTTTGCTCAGAGTGATCCATCTTCCTTTATCCCATGAAGGCAGTCCTGGCCTTGTTTACTAGGGCCTGGCATCCAGGCTGGGCCTTGCTTGAATCTTCATGCTTCCCAGTGACTGCCTGTGTGTGGTTGCATGCACAGCTCACAAGAACCACAGGAAGCTCCGTGCCCCAGAGCTGCACAGCTGACCTCAGCCCTTGGGCTATGCTGTCTGTGCCAGGTGACTCAGTGCTCCTGTGACTCATCACTTGTGGGCAGTGGAAACCCGTCTGGGCTAGTGGCTCAGGGTAGGAGGAGGCCGCTATGAGGCATTGGCCACTCTCTACCAGCAGGCCTTTAGACCTTGGACTGGATCCCATTCATTCCAGAACTCTTTAGTGAGTCCCTACTGTGTGTGAAGCCTTATGCACATTGGCACAGGGTGGAGATGGAGCTAGACAAGCAGCCTCAGCCTGCTTCTGTCTGGCAGGGGGCAGATCCATATAGCTGAATCCATAAGTCAATCTCTGTGTTAATGAGAGACAATGTGGTTGTCAACAGGCAGCCCCAGCATGACTGTCACCTCTAAGCTGATTGCAGTCTTACTGTGCCTTTGTTTCCCTATCTGAAAGGAGAGGCAGTTGCAGAGCTAGGAAGGATGGGAGTTATAAGTAGGTGTAAATAGAGCCACAGAATGTCTGGCCTATGGATTCCTCCATGAGTTTGCTCAGTGTTCATCCGAACTCTTTTAAGACAGGCTTCAGGCACTGGATCCACGTTGCCCAACAGCACCTGACCATGTAGCAAGTCACTGGGTGCCCCTGGGCTGCTGACAAGTCTGTCTTCTACCTTGACTATTGGGGGATCACCATGGCAATGAGACAGTGCTGATGGCCTCAGACAGAGATGGGATGGTTGATGGACCAAAGTGTGGGCCTATAGGGGAGCAGTAGCTATCAGCCAGGACAGCCCGGTGCCTGTATGGAGCCAGGCTGTGTTTATGGTGTTGTTTAGTGAATGCAGCCACAACTCACACTGTGAACCCTGGAGGACACCACTGAGCTCCTGGCATAGGGCGGGCATGCTGACAGGCTGTACCCACCAGGGTAGAGTAGGGCCACAGAGCATGACCACCTTCAGGGATTGTAGGGTACAGGAAGCAGAAGTTAGCCCAGCCATGGGGCTGGAGAGATGGCTCAGCACTTAAGAGCACAGACTGCTCTTGCAGAGGACCTGGGCTCAATTCCCAGCACCTACATGGCTTCTAACAACTAAAAGTTCAAGAGGATCTGATGCCCTCTTCTGACCTCTGTGGGCACTGCAATGAATAACATGCAGTGTTAAAATAAAAATAATAAATATTTTTTAAAAAGACAGCCCAGCCAGGAGGAAGTAGTATTGGAAGAGAAATGTGAGAAAGGCGGCCTGTTGATTCCATGCCCTGGGGAGGAAGCCAGGGACCGAGGTCACTTTTCCCAACATGGTGACCCTGTTTTGTAAAGTCAACCTTACAAAGGTATAATCCAGTTTCAAGTCAATGCACTTGCTTTTAATGAGCAGTTTAATAGTTTCTAACAAATGTCTACCTGTGTAACTGTCAGCCCAGGCAGCATAAAGGCATCTCTGTAACCCAGAAAGGTCTTTGTGGCCCTGCTCAGGTAATCTGTCCCTAAGTCAGGGTTGCTTTACTTTCCATGACTCCTCTCCTGCCCCACTTTTTCTTTAAAATTCAACAATCGAATTTTCCAAATAAGTTTTCTTCTTAATAATCTTTACTTACTTTTTATTTATCTAATTTATTTTGAGTCAGAGTCTTACAATGTTGTCTAGGCTGACTTAGCCTCCTGAGTAGCTGGGACTACAGGCCTATGCCACTGTGCCTGGCTCTGGGCTTTATTTTGGGAGCAGTTTTAGTTGACAGAAAATAGAGTAAATAATGCAGAGGGTCCCACGTATTTCTCTCTTCCTGTCATTAACATTTTGTGTTAATGTCTCATTATTAGCTGAAGTCTGGACTTTACCAGGCCCTTCCTATGTTGGGCACCCTGTGGGCTTAGACAAATCATTGTGGTATCACAGAATGATTCCCCAGCTTAAAACTCCCCTGAGCCCTGCTTACTTATTCCTTCCTCCTCCTCACACCTGGCAACCACTGAGTTTGTCTTCTTGGTATTGTCTTTCCTTCAGTGTTGTGTAATTAGAACCATAAGGTATGGAGCCTTTGGGGATAGGCTCTTTCACTCAGTAATGTGCATTTAAGGTTTCTCCATGTCTTTTCCTAGCTTATAGCTTGCTTATTTATTCTTTACAGTACTGGGGGTTGAACCTAGGGTTCATCTGACTTTTTTATGTGGGTCCTGGGGGATCTAACACAGGTCCCCATGATGGTATGGAAAGCCTTTTACCGACTGAGCCATTCCCTGGCTTCTGTCTTTCTTTTCCCTCCTTTCCTCCCTTCCTTTCATCTTACTATGTAGCCTAGAGCCTCAGCGTCCTGAATACTGAGATTGTAATTGCGCACCACCACACCTGGATACCCTAATTATCTTTTCTAATGTTAGTAATTTGAGTCTTTCTCCCTCTCCCCTCTCCCCCTTCCCCCTCCTCTGTGCCAGTTTAGCTAAATAACTGTCAATTTTGTTGGTCTTTTCTGTGAACAGACCTCAGTTTGTTTTTTCGTTATTATCGACTTTCTGCTTTCTCTCTTATTTTCAGTCTAGTCTGTGCTACTCCTTTCTGTTAGCTTTGTGTTTAGAATGTATAGCTGTTCTTAACTGATCTGCCCTCTCCCTCTCTTCCTTCCTCCCTCCCTCCTTTCCTCTTCTCCCATGCTATGTCTTTCCCTCTCTTCCTCCACTTACTTCCTCCCTTTCTCCCCACTCTCCTTTCCTGTTTGTTTTCCTTTTTTATTTTATGTGTACAAGTGTATTGCCTGCATGTATATGAGTGCACCCGTGTCGTGCAGTGCCGCAGAGGCCAGAAGAGGGCTTCAGATTCCCCTGGAACTGGAGTTAAGGACAGTTCGTAGCCACCATGTGGGTGCTGGGAATTGAGCCCAGGTCCTCTGCAAGAGCAGTCAGTGCTCTTAACCACTGAGCCGTGTCTCCAGCCCCCGTTTTCCTTTTTTATAGTTGATAAAGTGTAATGTTAGGTCATTGATTTAACCTCCCTCCCTCCCTTCCTTTTAAAACAGGGTCCCATTATGTAACCCTGGCCAGCCTGGAATTCACTGTGTAGACAAGGCTGGCCTGGAACTCATAAAGATCCAAGATCCCCCTACCTCTGCCTTTCAAGTGCCAATATCAAAGGCATGTGACACCACACCTAGTGTCCTAGTTTGTTCTTCATTGCTGTGACAAAATACGCTGACCAATACCAACTTGGGGAGGAAAGGGTTTATTCAGCTTACATCTCCTGGGTCACAGTTCATCAGAGAGCCCAAGGTAGGAACTCAGGGCAGGTCTGGAGGCAGGAGCTGAAGCACAAGCCATGGAGAAACACTGCTTACTGGCTTGCTCCCTTGGCCCCTGCTCAGCCTGTCTTCTTATGTAACACAGGCCCACCTGCCCAGGGGAGGCACCACCCACAGTGGGCTGGGCCCACTCAACAATCAAGAAAGTGCCCCATGGACATGGCCACAGGCCAGTCCAATGAAGGCAATTCCCCAATTGAGGCTCCCTCAACCCAGGTGTGTCAAGTTGACACTAAAGCTATCCAGCACACCTGGCCTGAGCTCTCTTTTTAAATGCATGCACTCATAGCTGTTCTTTTCCCCTCAGAAGTATGTTTGCTCCATCCCTGGGGCTTTGATGTTTGTTCCTCATTTGTCTCAAGGTATTTTTCAATTTCTTTCTTATTTTTTGACATATTAGTTGTGTAATTTCCACAGGTTTTTGAACTCTGGTGGAATTGATGTCTACCTTCATGCCATATGATCAATTTAAATGTATGATTTAAATGTTTTTAGTTATATTGAGACTTGCCCAAGACTTGTTTCTGATCTGCCCTGGAGTATGGTTCACATCCATTTGAGAAAATGTGTTTTCTGTATTACTGGATAGAATGTTTTATGTATGTCTTCTTTGTTTGTTTAATTGTCTATTTATTCTCCTATAAAGTTCCATGTCTTTTCATTTCAAACCCCTCTGTACTTAGGGCAGCAAGACAAGTGGCCACAGGTATGTAAGGCCACATACCTGTCCAGTCTTCACAGGAATCCTGTCCCCACTTCCTTCTCACCCTCAGCTTTAAAGACTTGTCCTTCTATGGCACATTCTTTTTTTATATGTTTTGCCTACATGTATATAAGTATACCACATCCGTGCAATGCCCATAGAGGCTAGAAGACAGCATCAGATCCCTTGGAACTTGAGTTATTAGCTCCACATGAGTGCTGGGAACTGAACTTAGTTCCTCTGTGAGAGCAGCCAGTGCTCTTAACCAATGAGCCATCTCTCCAGCCCCAATATGGCACATTCTTAATGGGGAAGACAATGCATTGTCTCTCCACATCCCTGGGAAAGCTTACTGGTTTGCTGGTGGAATCCTCTTAAGACCTTCCAGATATGATTTGACCCATGGTGTTGCTAGCACAGGCCCCTGAACACTGTGCTCTTGTGTCTGTGAAGCTGGGGGAGCTGTCTTGGGCCATCTCTGAGCTCTGACCCTCCCTTGGCTCCAGATGTTTCCAGGTGGCCCTGTGGAAAGCATTCTCTTCACCTCTCTGAGTTGATTTTCTGTAAGAAGCTCTTGGATATAGAAGAGGAGCCAATGCATGTGGCCCTTTTTGGGCTCCTGATGTACCTGCTCACTTCCATTTGGGAGGGAGGCAGCCAGCAGGTGGGGCAGCTCTCCTTGTGTGCTAGAGCCACCATGTGGGCCAAGATGTTTCAGTCCTGTGGGTGCACCCTCCAGAGAGATCACTGCCCTTCCAGCAGGCAAGGGCTTCCTGTTGTCAACACCAAAGGGCGCTATTCCCTGAGTCACCCCCTGTGCTACCTGCATGTGTTCCAGATCTGACCTACTGTGACCGTCTGGTACAAGACACACCTTTCCTAACAGGACAGGGCCGCCTGAGCGAGCAGCAGGTGGACAGAATCATTCTCCAGCTGAATCGCTACTACCCACAAGTCCTCACCAACAAGGAGGCCGAAAAGGTGCTGAGGCGGTGAGCGGGGCCAAAACTGTCTCTTTGAATGATCTCCACACAGTCCCAGGTTGCAGCTCTCTGTGCCTGTCTCTTCCAGTGTACTTGTGACTGTCGGCCTCTTCTAGAATTGTAGGAGTAGGAGGTTTACAGGAGCTAATGTTATAACACACAACACTGGTGCAGAGAGGGCTGAGGAGAGAGGGATCTGAAGTTTAGACTGGGAGCTGGGGAGATGACTCAGCTGGTTGAAAGGCTTTTTGTGTGAACATGAGGACCCGAGTTCAGACCCCTGCACTGGGTTGTGGCAGCATGGAGCTATACCCCCAGCACTGGAGTCAGAAACAGATAAGATCCCAGAGGCTTGCTGGCCAGCCAGTCTAACCAAAAGGGTGAGCTCTAGGTCCAGTGAGAGACCTTGTCTAAAAAAATAAGTTCCAGAGCCATTGAAGAAGTACAGACATCAACCTCTGGCCTCTGCATGCACCCACGTGGGTGAACACAGCTGCACCCACATGCACCACAGAGAGAGAGAGAGAGAGAGAGACAGAGAGACAGAGAGAGAGACAGAGAGGAGAGAGAGACAGAGGGGGAGAGAGACACAGAGAGAGAGAGAGAGAGAGAGACAGAGAGAGAGAGAGAGAGAAAGTCTGAACCCTGCTGTCACCCTGATACTGCGTAGTGGCTTTTTACTCTTAGTCTTCCAGAGGTTCTAAGTAGGTAAAGACTTGCTGATATGTCCTCCTGTTCTTTCTTATGTTTGTGAGGCCAAAAGGCCCAGTGCATGATAGATGGGCAGCTTAGGCTCCAGGTGGGGGCTGACTCTGACCCACAGCTGAGCTCAGCCTGTCCTATACAGAAGGCTCTGAAGGAGGTTAATCCCACTTGGAGTCTCAGTGTCTCCATCTGTGAAAAGGGCATGATCCTCCATGTTCTCACAGGCTAGGATATGACCCGGACAACCTGAGCCAGGTGAACAGCTTCCAAGCACATTCTTCTCTGGACCATCCCTGATTCTCACCACAACCCTGCAAGTAGCCACAATCATCACCCTCATCACCCTGAGGCCTGAGAGGTAGTCATGTGCCTAGGGTCATTCATCTCAGGTCAGGCTATACCCTAACCTTAGAGCTGTGGCTATACCATGCCAGTTATACTGGAGATGGCATTTGCAATGTAATTCCTGGGCTTTGTGTCAGAAAGGCTAATCCTGCCCAGTGTCCTCAGGCCTGAGAGGGGATGTCAGGTGAGTGTTAGGATGCAAGTTTCAGTTCTTCTCTGAGTCACCTGCTCCCTAGCAGCATTCCCAAAACTAGAGGAGCCAAGAACAGAGGAGCCAAAAAAAAAAAAAAAAAAAAAAAAAGAACAGCTCTGTGCACACACACCTTCCCTTCTCACAGGCTCTTCAGGCTCCCTTCATCCAGGGTTAGTTTCCAATGGTCACCACCAGGGGACAGCACCAGACCACAGCCTCCTGGTCCTGGGCTCAATGCCAAATGCCCTGTCCACTGACCTTCACACCCATGTTACAAGTCTGTTCTCTAAACTGACTTTTGAAATATTGGAATCATGTTCCTACGAACAGCAAGATAATAGCAGTCACCATCTATGCCAACACTCCATTTGTTCCTTCTAACAACCCCACCACGTGGGCTTATTTCCCTTTTACACATGGATAAACCAAGTCTTGGAGAGTTGGGGTGACTTACTGAGGCCACACAGGAAGCTACACTGAGTTTCATCACTTAGGGTGATGCCCTCCACCCTGTTTTCTTGGTGACTACTCCCAGCCTGTTGCTCTGGAGGGAGTATTAACCAGGATGCCTGCAACTGCTGGGCACTACATAGGTGGTGTGTGTGCGTGTGTGTGTGTGTGTGTGTGTGTGTGTGTGTGTGTGTGTGTGTCGGGGATCATGGGGGTTCTGAAGTCTGTGACACTGAGGCTGGGCTTCCCAGCCCGCCTCATAGATGCCTCCTCCAGTCTGCTCTTTCTTCTGTCCCCAGTTCCGGAACCCCAAGTCATCCTTGAGGGTGCGGCTCTGTGACCTCCTCAGCCACCTGCAGCGGAGTGGGGAGCGGCACTGTCAGGAGTTCTATCGAGCGCTCTACATCCACGCGCAGCCCCTGCATAGTCACCTGCCCAGCCGCCACACTCTGCGTAAGTCCTGGCCCTGTGTCCCCACTTAAAGCACTCTGCACTGGGCCAGGGAAGGGCCCGGCCAGCTGGTGAGAGCATAGATGTTCTCAGTGCCCATCTGAGTCTGCAGTAGTCTAACTTAGGCATTTCTTCTACCCTAGCCCCTCAGAGACCACCCAGGAAGAATAGCACAGGCTGGTACATTGATTTCTCTGTGTCTGCCTCTATTTCCTCCTTTTCCTCCTCCCTTTCCCTGTCTCTTCAGATCTCCTTATTGGTTCACTCTCAATCCTCTCTCCTCTCTCCTCTCTCTACTCTCTCCCTTCTCTCTCATTTTCACACAGAAGCTGGCATCCCGTATATCTTGTCCTCCTCTTTTTCCACCCTTGTTTACCATGGCTGTGTCTCATTCCCACACTCATAGCAGCTCTCTCCTCACAGCTCCTGCTCCTGGGCCATTCAGGCCAGGACTCACCAAGCCCACAGTGGACCTGAGGCTGTGTCCACCTACCTTTCCAGGCTGCTCATGTGGCATTTCTGTATGGCATCCTTGGGTGTGAGTCAGAGGCAGTGTGTTCTCAGGCCATGGGAGGTGTGCAAGGGTCGGGAGACATCAGAACTGCTGGGACCTGGGAGTACACAGCAAGGCCATGTGGTGGCCCCCTTCCAAGGCTATGTGCTTAGGGACCTGGGAGGAGGTGCTGCTGCCTCCAGCCATGATGAGGTGACTCAGCCTAAGCCCTCTTCTGGGACTCTGGGCTGGTGTCTCTGATCCCAAGGAGACCTCCCCTAACCTCACAGGGTACAGTGTGGATGCTCAAGGACAGCGTGAACTGGCTCTGCCTCTTACACCTCCCCTTTTAAAGCATTCCACTAGGTCCTTTAGAACCCAGTAGCAGCCAAGTCACATCCCTGCTGGAGGCAAAGCACCTTCTGTGACTTCTGGATGCCCAGGGCCTGTTTGACATCTGTTAATTGCACAGGGAAGTCTGGGGAAAAAGCCCCTGGCCTTCTGTGCCTGGTGTGGCAGCCACTACTACCATGCCAGCAGCTAGCTCATGACAGTGGATGTTTGTGCTGCATTTGAGGGCTTGAGGCAAACAGGACAGGATAGTTCCTCTCCACACTTATAATCTCACATGACCTGCACCAAAGGAAACTGTAATCTGTGCAGAGATCCCTGAAGGGCTGACCTCACTGTGTCACAGACTGACCTCCCAGGGTACTCAGTGCAGTGGCCATGAAGAGACATGAGAGGGAGGGGTTGGAGAGATGACTCTTGGGATAAGAGCACTAGCTGCTCTTGCATTGGATCTGGTTGTGGTTTCCTGCACCCACAGGGCAGCTAACAATCATGTGTTACTCAAGTTTCAGGGAATTTGACGCCCTCATCTGGCCTCTGTGGGCATTGATGCATGTAGTGCACTTATATACATGTAGGAAAAACACTCATACACATAAACGTTAATTAGATGTCTATTAATTAATCAAATAGACATGAGAGGGCCTAGCACTTTTGGGAGGTGGAAGCTGCCTTGAGTTCCTTGGGGGCGACCCCATGCTTTTGGCCCAGCCCTTTACTAACCATGCTCTGTAATTTTGTTTCCAGAGAACTCAGATTGCACAGAGCTCGACTGGGGCAGCGATGGCCGCGAGCTGAGTGACAGGGGTAACGCCCCCGCTGCCTCCTTTTTGTCTCTCCATCTCTCTCCTCCCCTCAGCACTCTGTGTCCCAGGGGCTTCTCCATCCTTCATTGGGTTCCATTCTTGGCTTTCTTTTGGGGCACAGGCCCCCTATGGTGTCATCAGCCACTCACACTCCTCTCTCCCCAGGACCCATGAGCTTCCTGGCAGGCCTAGGCCTGGCAGCCGGCCTGGCCCTCCTCCTCTACTGCTGCCCTCCTGGTGAGTACAGGCTGCCCCCCCCAACCCCAGGCACATTGGCCTCTCAATCCATCAAGAGCCTTAATCCTGCATACAACAGGACCCTTGGCCTTTCTGTGTCCCAGGTTCCTTACCTATGCTATGGGCTGGTGATATAGGGTTTGTGAAATAGTGTAGTATACCCCCTCCCACCAAGCCCCCAGCTCTTGGTAGGAATTGGAGAGTGACAGCCCTTCGGAGAAATAGGCAGTTGGTGGGGCTAAAAGTCAGAGAGCCCTGCTACATATCTGCCAGATCACCTTCTCTGAGCCTTGGTCTCTATACATGTGGTGTCACAGGCCTGATCAGCCCAAGCCTACTGAGGCCTGCAGCTTGCAGCCAGCCTAGCTGGCTTCACCTTCCCTGTTCTTTCCAGTGATGCCTGAGTTGGTCATCTGGGAAGGGCTCTGGGTGGAGCCAGGTATGAACTCCCAGCCTTGCACACTGAAGGTCTGAGTTCACCCAAGCAGGAGCCATAGGCTCTGGGATCAGACCCAGTTCTGATCTTTCAACCCAAACACCAAGACCTTGTGTGAGTGAGAGGGAGGCATAATGCCAGTGTCCAACCTGCTCTAGCTCCCCCAGAACCCAGGAGGCAAGGATGGAGCTCCCCTTCATGACTGGTCCTTGGATCAGCACCTCTCCCTTTGTCTTCCAGATCCCAAGGTACTGCCTGGGGCCCGGCGCATCCTCGGCTTCTCACCCGTCATCATTGACAGACATGTCAGCCGCTACCTGCTGGCTTTCCTGGCAGATGACCTTGGAGGGTTCTGATGAACCCACACCCCTGGCCTTGCCTGCTGCTCAACCAAAGAATCCCCTGGTTGCCCACTGTGGAGCCAGTGCTTCTTTTTCTAAATACTTATTTTTCATTATTTATCATTTCTGTAAGAAGCACATCACCTTCACTGTACAAGGTGCTTAATATTAAATGTTCCAATCACCTCAACCTATCTCACTTCCTTATGGGGGTGTTTGGGGCAGTGTACAATTCTAGACTGGCACAGGTGCTCCTGGCTTTGAATCCAGCCTTGGCCCAGAGACTTCCCTCCTCCAGGTACTCACAGTCTTGAGATATCTAACACTATCCCCTCGCACTTCAGATGCCCCCCACCCTTGTCCCCTCTCCTCTCAGACATTTCTGCCATTGTCCATACCCAGTAATGTTCCTCAGCATCCTCTCCTCATACCATCTACTCCCCACATCTCACTGTTCTCTCTCCCTTCAGACATCCATTATCCTCTCCTCAAAATACCCCACACTGTCCCCACCCCTACTACCTCCTATATTCCCCTGCATGGTCTCCTCCCTTGCTGCATCTTAGCCTTCCTGACTATTCCTGCCTGCATGTCCTTGGTGGCCCTATAACCTGGTATTGCTGTCTAGCCCCCAACCCCAGGTGTGGTCAATGGCAGCCCCTCCCTGTTGCTAACTGGATCCCAGGCCTGGGCACTGATGGCTGGGGCAGCAGTGGGCTACACAAAAGTCCAGGGGGCACCAGCACCCAGATATGCCAGTTTCCTTGACACAGTGAAAGGCATGGGCCACTATCCTCCCTTTTACCATAGGAAATGGAATGCTGCTTATTGGCACCCAGCCAGGAAAAAGGGGAGACAGGCATTAGGCCAGGCTACCTTGTCCTTGTTCCCTTCCTGTGACTCTAAGGAAACCTCATGTCCCCCCCAACCCTGGGTCCCTGTCCTTTCCCTGGTGGTCACTGTCCTGTCACCAAGTCTCAATTCCTCCACAGCCTAGTTAGCCACCATGTTCTAGTGGGGCCCTAATAGAGCTGGGCCCTTGAGTCTAGGTCCTATCTAACATCAAGCATGAGGATGGGGTCATTGCTGCCAAGGATGGACTAGGTAGAGCTGGAGACCGGGCCTCAGCCATGTGGGACACAACTAGGATCACAGCCTGTGGCAGGAAACACAGACCTTGCCACTGACCCACAAGGGCTACCCTACTCAGATGGGAGGGGATCTAGCCTGAGAACAAACAGTTCATAGAACCTTCTAGATTCTTCAGCGATGCAAGATGTTATGGTACGTTTGAGGTCCTGGATACTGGTTTCTCATGCCTTTCTGGAGCCACATCCAGCTGTTCATGTATCCTAGAACCAAGGATGGGCCTGTGCTCTTGACTGAGGGACTGTGCCTGTCCTGTCTCCATCCATCCTCAGGATCTGTCCTGGAAAGGCCTGTTGTGGACACCAGGAGAGTGAACACAAAGCAGAGGGCTGGGTACTCTGCTCTTGGCTTCCATCATCAGACCCCCCACCACAGTCCTCCTAACTTAGGCAGTGTGAGCCACATGGACCAAGGCTGGGGTGGGTAGACACTCTCCAGCCCTCCACTGTGACTCCACTCCGGGGACCCTATCACTAACATCATCTTGCAAATGATAAAACAGTCCAAGGCCAAGACCATTCAGCAGAAAAGAGGCCAGCATGAGGGTAGCCATGTGCTTTCTGCTCATACCACCATGGCTTGTCCTCACCACATCAGTGCATACACATCTATATGTACATGCACAAACATGTACACAGTAGTTTAACATACTTGCATTCATGTGTACTCATGCTATACACATGTACATATTTACTCATGTGTATACACCCATGTGTACACACGTGTGTAGGGCTTTAGCCACAAGACCTAGGTCAGAGCACCCTGATGGGTGTGGGTCAGGGAGCCTGAATAGTTTGCCCTGGAGTGCTGCCCTACCAGCCCCTCCCCACCAGTCTTTTTGAGGAAACACACATTGTCAACTCGCAAAGTCATCATGAGTCTGTTTTCCACTGAGTTTCTGGAGTCACATGTGTTGGAAAGTACCATGCCTTTCAAAGTACTGAGGCAGGCCCTGACTGAGATGACCCCAAACACAGATGAAGTGGGCACTGGGGATACAGTCTCCTAGGGCAGGGCTCTGCTGACGTCTTAGGCTCACAGATTTTGTGAGAGCAGGAAGCACAGCAAGGGGATCCCCATCCCCTACCCTGCTGACTGGCTGGCCCAAGCCCCGGGACTGATGCTTTGCAGGTGTACCACATGCTCCCTTCTGCTTCACCAGGGAAGTGCAGACAAGGGTGGAGGAAGGCTGGGCCCTCAGTGCCCTCCCATCTGCTAAGGAATGCTATGCCCAGTGAGGAGCGGTGGCTTTGGGGACAGCACCCAGTTACCATCTCATTGTCCCAGAGCTTCAAGAGCAGGTCATTTGCTTACTAGTCTACAAGCCTCAGTTTGTACCCCTCTAACACAGAAGCTCCACTCTGGGTACTCTCTCATGAGGACAGTGCAGACCAAGCCTCCACTAAAGTATTAAGGCCCAAAGAGAGTGTTGTATTTGAATTGACTGCTTTGCTGGTGGGAGGCCCAGTATCTGACACATAATAAAGGTGACAGAAACACCTGGGTAGAGGTGGCAGGCACTTGTGTCAAGGGTGCAGAAAGGCTCAACTTGGCCCTGGAAGGTGAAAGGGAGTTTCAGGGGACACCAAAATCCTAGCCTCTGTCAGCCAAAGGCTGGGAATGCTAAGCTGGTGGCCTGGGAAGGTCCTGAGGCTGGTCTCCATCTCACACTACTTTGGATGCCCCTCCTGAGAGTTTTTGCAAAGACCTGTGGGCCCTGATTCTCAAGCCTGTATGGGCAGGGTGCCACCATTAAGTGTCACCCGGATGTGGGCCTGCTCAGCATCCCAGAATTTCTGACTTTCTCCTTCTACCCATGACCCTGTGAAGCCCAGAGCCTGCTAGCCACTGGGCACAGACTGTCCTTGAATGGCCCTCTGTATGCTCCAGCTACCTGGGTCCCATCTCCATAGTCGCACTCAAAGCCTATAGCTGAGGTCTTCAGCATCCTGGACTTCAGCTGTCAGTTTCTACCTGGCTGGTTCTCCACAGGCCTTTCCTGTTAAGCTGAGTCCCACAGAGGGGAGAGCAAGGGGACTCCTTGTCTGGACCTTAACATCCCCATCAGTCCCTGCCCAGCCCTTTAGTCATCTGGTCAGCCAATGACCTGCAATGAGTTAAATCCACAAGGAGTAAGGGGCACCACTGACCACTCATTCCCTGATGCCCCTCACCAGCTGCCTGAGCACCCATCTCCACACTGCAATGCAGGACGCCTGTGGTCACATGCCAGCACACCATAGTTCCAGGGGTTTTCCTGAGGAATAAGTGGTTCCCTCTGTGGGCAATCCTTGTCATCTGCCCTCTACCTCATCCTTTGCGTCCTGCCTGGGTAGGATGTCTTGATACTCAAGTGAAAATGGGTTTCTCAGGGGCTCCCAGAACTGAGTGGCTGGTGGGGGCAGCTGAGATGGAAGATTTCCCAACACTAGGAGTTTGGGATGAAGGAGTTGGGACAGGCCTGGAGTGGAGTGGATGGAATGTGACAGTGCTAGGCAACCTGGACACAGGTCAGTGAGGACACAGGAACACATGAGGTTGGAGCCCAGAAGTGCATCCACATCTTGCATAACCCGAACTGATGAAGGCTTGAATGTACAGGCACAGGGGTGGATTTGGGGGTGCGCTGACTCTGCTTTTGGGTGGTGCCACCATTTCTAGTTCCTGCTTGGTCAGCACCCGTGGGCTGGGCTCTTTCCCCCTTGCAGATGGCTCATGGGGCCCTGCCAACGTCCCCTAGCCACAGACCAAGTCAGCCACAGGTCACGACTCACTTCGGATCCTAGACACTCACCCTCTTGAAGACTAGATAAGGGTCTGGGAGGGTTGGCCTGTCATGCTCCTTACTGACCCCAGCACCTGGGTGCTCAGGGAGATGGTGAGCTAGGGGACACTCTTCTGTCACCAAGTCTCATCACTGCTCAGTACTCTATCTCTTCACCTCTAAGGTGGGTGAATGGGGCACCCTTTTAGATAGCAGGAGGGTGTGTATGACATGACATGACTTAAGGAGGCACTGGCCAAATGGCTATAGGACCCCAAATGTTAAACTGGCACCGAATCAGGACCCTGATACCAAATCAGGACCCTAATGCCATATTGCAATGGGATGAGGGCACTGAGGGGAGGGGCTGGACTGAGTCTCAGGGGTACTTCATGTCCCACTTTGCAGCAGACCTGACAGGTGCCATGAGTGTGGGGGAAGGGCTACCTTAGGTTGAAAGTGGCCTGGTGGCACCCATCAGCAGAAAGAAGGGTAAAGTACTGGGCTAGGGCACAGAAATCAGATGCTGGGGCCCTTCCTCAGGCCCCACACAGGTCAGCAGCACTGGAGTTAGTGTTTTCCTGAAAAGTATGTGGGAAGGAACAATAGTAAACTAGGAAAGCATTGCCCTGATTTTCAGGAATAGTGTGTTGGAGAAATAGAATTTATATCCCAATGAGAGAAGGCCTTTGGGAAATGGGAGGGAAGCTGAGTGCAGTGAGTATGGGGAGAAGGAAACACTGAGAGAAGGAGGAGGAGCCACTTCAACATGCCAGATTGTGCCCTCCTACAAGCCCAGCCCCGCTGCCCACACAGGTTCTTAAAGGATATGTGGTAGGGACAGAAATGCTACAGGGACAGCCTGCAAACCTAGCAATGCTTAGCCACAGTCAGTGGTTGCCACCAGCAGGACAAACTGGCTGAGGACAGGCACAGGGCACCTAAGCCATGAGAAGACATGAGCTGGGGATAGCGGAGCTGAGCTGACTCCAGGCTAGCACAGAGCAACTTCCTCATTGGGGACTTGACCCAGGATGGCCTTTAAATAACTCACTGGGTCCTCTGCAAGAGCAAGTAGTGCTCTTAACCACTGAACCATCTCTCCAGCCCCAACACATGGGCTTTTTAAAAACAATTTTAAAACATTTTATTTTATGTGTATGAGTGTATTGCCTACATGTGTGTAAGCAGGTGTGCAAGCACACCTATGTTGTGCAATGCCTGTGGAGGTGAGAAGGTGTCGGATCCCCTGGAACAGGAGTTACAGATGGTTGTTA